ACATGTATGATGGGGGCACATTACAATGAAACATACAATAATAAAATTTGCAACATGCCCTGATTCTCTAAAGATACATCCCCAGGATCACCGCCTCCAGGCATTTGATTGGCAGAGCCTCCCGCGTCATCTCTTTAGCAATGTCCATCAACCTGTGCAGGACAATGGAACAGGAGAGAAACACCGTTAATTCTCATCTCTGATATAAGACACTACTGAGTGCAATAGAAATGCACACACAGTTATTGAACAAACACATTTTCCACGAGCCATGGAAATATGATTTAGATCACGAAATCTAATAAAGCAAGGTCAGGGAAATTGTGTTCCAGGCCTTCTGCTGCTTGACGTTTCAACTCACAAAGCCCTGAGGAGATACAGCTGATCCACAGGCATCAGACATTAGCAGCACTGGCCAAAACCATAAGAAATCAGCTAATATTGTTGCAGACATCCTATGACTGCTGCCATGAGTCCATTACTAGTGATTAGTCTTTGGTGAAAGAAAAAAAAAGGTGCTTACGCAGTAAGAGGCCGGCTCTTCTTAATTTCAAAAAACTGTGTTCCTGTGTGATTGTACCTGTAGGACACAGTTAAGGTCATACTGTATAACAACAGAGCAATCAGCAGCATGCATCAGGGAGAAGAGACAACCAGTTATAGTGCTTTGTGATATTCATAGGTTGCTGTTTAATTATGGATGAATTACGTCTGACTGAAATAAAGCTTAATATATAGTAGAGTTTCCACAATGCTTGCCTACTTCCAAATGTAAAGGGTAGTAAAAATAGAGGGTTAGATAGGATTTGAAAAAGTCAAGATAGATCAAAATATGTTTTAACTACAAATGAAATGCTGTGGAAACATTCAAATACACCAAGGTAGTCAAAGGATACTGCAATTCCCTGATGTATTTCTGTATGGCTTCCAAGCGCTGTGGGATAGTGGTGGTAGGTTGAAATGTAGGCACACTCGGTATTGGAATCTGTAGGACAGAGAGCATCCCAACAACTTGATGAACATTGAACAATCAAAGTAGTCTTGTGTGCTTTTCCCTATTCAGCCTGCCGATTGCAAGAGCTTCTTAATTGCTCTAAGCACGAGAAATGAATGAAAAGTACCATTCTTCTGTGTCTAAAACATCCATAGCATGCAATGGTACCATGCAGAGTGAACTGGACAAAACATGCATTGTATTTTACTGCTGTGATAAAAAAATACATTAGTTAAGTTTATCTATCAGTCATGTGGGACAGCGTAGTAACACTGTAGCTCAACATTTCCTCAGATCACATGGGTGTTAATTGTTTCTCCACCATGTGTAAGTTTCACATGTGGAATTCAACAGCTGCAACCTTACCTTGGGCAGGTCAGTGGCCCCCCGGGTCTCCTTCCCCAGTGCTTCACCGTTGGGGTGTATTCGAGCCACATGGCGCCACATCCTCTCCCAAGTCTCCTCATCCACCGGGAGGCCTCCTCTGTTCACATAGAAAGGCACCCCTCCATCCCTTAACTCCTCTTCGGCTTCATCCTCCTGCTCCTCATCCCTCTGCTCCACGGAGCCCGCGGTGGCCCTCAGCATCCTTCCTCCTCCTCTTCCTCCTCCTCCAGCAGCAGGAACCCAACTGAGTTCAGGCACAGAAGCCTCCATACTGGACCCTTCACTGGTTAATCTGCTTTTTGCAGGTTTAAGTAGGTTCCAACAACAGATGGCCAACTCATGACATCAAGCAGCATGTGCCAAAAAATATATAAAAAGAATAATTCAATGCAATGTCGAGAAGGTTTAATAAAAATGCAGCCCTTTAGTTGAAGACCTAAATAATGATTTCAAAGTATAAACAAATTAATCTTCTTGCAATAAAAAAATGACTCTTTGGGAAAATCTAGAACCCTAGGCCATTTAATAATCATATGTCCATGTTAATAAATAAACTATGACACTTAGGTAATTAAGCCTTTAGACGTGTTTTAATTACAATCGGGTGAAAGTTCAATAAGCCAAAACATATCCGGCCAATGTACCGCTATCACAGTCTTTAGGAGGATTGATCCGCAGACAACAAAGTATTAGAAACGAATAATTCCCTGCACCGTTAGAGGTCATTCATATCACAAATATCCAGAAAAATCAGTGCCGTTTTGCAATCCCATCATCTCGACACTCCTCACGCGTCCTCTTCATCGCTTCTTCACCAAACCATTTCCTTCAGTCAGCCGGTTCATTGTTCATACAGATGCTCCTGGGTTCAGCGGCTGGGAGTGGGATTCACGTCCAACGAGCAGCTCAGACACTCCCAGATCTCCGTCTACCGCGCATGCGCAAGACAGCGGATCTCAACCGTGACAAATGCTGCATTCAAGTGCTCCTCCGATCAAGAAGTTAGATCTGCGAGTCATTTATTCTACTGCTTGGTGATAATAAAAAAACACAATCTGGGTGTTTTCATTTTATTAATCTTGACACTATTGTTATGTGGTGGAAGGATGAAGGAAAGTAAATAAAAAAACGTTTTAAGATAAAATATAAAAGATTTTTAAAATGAGATATCATTCAATCAGCCACACCCTGGATATGTTGGCTGATTTATTTTGTGATTTGTTATTAGTTGTAGTAGTGAAACATTTATATTGCCCTTTTCCCGGTTTGCTTGTATACATCTTTAACATTGTTGAAGGAAAAATAAAATAAAAACAATAAAACACATTTACACCATAATATTTTTTAAATAATAAAGACCTTAAAACATAAAAAAAAGAATGTGTGAAACTATATAAGGAATTGATCAAGGTTATCTTTCCCATAGTAAATTAGCATCTTTGCTAATAAAGCAACATTTCCTCAACACATTAGGGGTATTGTAAAAGACTGGAAACCAAAGACATTTATTATTCATTTATTTTCTTAACAAAATGTTTCATATGAACAACCAAATGTAAAGTAACTTGCAGTTTAGGTCAAACCCACCCCACACCAAACCAAACAAACTACAAAATATACATGAAAGGAAAATCATTTAAAAACAGAAAAGTGGTCTATTTACAGGTCCATCCCAGCTGTAGAAGATTAAGACCTTGGAGCACCGTAGTCATCAGGCATCCGTTCAATATTGAACCTGTATGAAAAGAACATGTCCATAAATCTATTTCACATTTTATGCAAAAAAACAGATGTATAAAAAGCAGACGTATATTTCAGTCAAAATGATGCTACCTGTGGTTTGAGATGTACATGATGGGCACCCCAGGGATCTTCCTGACTCTTCTCTTAAGATCTCTGTCCACAGTGGCCAGGATGTAACACTTGTGCTGTGGAAATGCATTAATGTTATTTACCTGTGCCAAAAACTTCAGAAAAATGAAATGCGAAAAATTACCTATAATTATTCACTATAATGATATGACACATTTTAAAATGAAAACATATTACCTGTGTTACCCTTTGGACCAAACAGTCATCGGCATATGTTCCCTTGTGTGTGCACGGCAGGCGCTCAAACCTCGGATCTTTGGCTATCCTGCAAAGCAAAACATTAACAAATGAATAAACAAAATAAGTTCAAGCCGTCCATGCAGTTTTATATTTAGCAGCTTGTACCTGAGTGCGACTCTGTACTTCATTCCAAGCTTTTCAATCTCAGCCATCACACAGTCTGTGATACATGGGATACCTGGATTGGATAAAATTGCAGAGGGGAAAAGAATGATTAGGAACGTTTTTGAATCATTGTACTGTATATAACAATTTGTTGGAGGAACGAGTCCATTATGCACTTGGCAATAGTACTTACATTTTGCATACAGGCAATCCATCATAGACTGAACAATGTCCAGTTTGGCTTTGATGGAAAAATTGATGAAATTGGTGTCGACTATAACGTGGTATGGTGGACCAAGCTGCGTGTTGTACTGGAAGAACAGGCAGGATGGGTACTTTGTCCTGCACAAAAAGTTAAAAATAAATCAAGTTAAGGAGCCACCCACCAAAAGTTCTTCATATAGTAATTAAATATGTTATAGCCAACTCACACTTCTCTCTCCTTGAGCGCAGAGGGGTCCTTCTTCTTTTTCTCTTTTGGTTTAGCCCGGTCCTTATCTTTTCTGAAAAAACAACAAGTTATGTTAAATAGGTATGCAAACTTGGCTGTATTAATAACATTGTGATGGATGATCAATACGTTTGTTAACTGTGGCTAGAAGACAGATAAATTATTAAAACTCACATTCTATTATCCTTCAGATTGATCATTCGTTTCATGACAGCAAACTTCTTCGTTTTCTGCTTCCCCTAGGTTAGACAAGTACAAACACAGAAATGGATTAAAACCAAGATATTACAACCAACAGTATGAAGCTTTTACAGCAGCAATTGACTTGTTGTGTAAGTGGAGGGTTTGAGTCAACCTCATAACACAGGCACTTTGTTGCTTGAACAGCATATTAACAATGTCTCTCAGCGTAACATTTACTTGTATAAACACTTAACTACACTGTACTGTCATTACTGAAGCAGTTTTTAGACAGCACTTTGACTTGTATAACGAGAGCTAAAGAAGTAATAAAACAAACACTGCATGTGTTAGCTAAACCTTGAACAATTAACTCAGACGTATCATGGTTTTAGGAGAATTAACGAACACTTACATGTATTTAATGTTGTGGCCAAGATCTTTACATTGATCAAAGTAAATGATATATTTAAAACGCTTATTTATTTCTGCAGCTGGCGTACGGGTTAGCCTACTTTACGTTAGATAGGCTAGGCTAGCTAAACTAGCTCAGGAGCTTGCCTGCTATAAAAGCTTCGACGCCAATGTAGTAATAACACATAACATACTTTGATAGATAAGTATTATGAGTACAGTCTTGATGTTACTGTATAATATATAAATATGACATACCATGGTTAAAATGTTAGCCCACAGATCTGAGTGAAATCTTCTCCCCTTCCCCTCGTGTGTTGTCGATGCGTTTACTATAGACGTCATCAGGAATCGACACGTTTTCTGCGCATTTTCCGGTTGCTAGGCTAATGCCCATCAGACGAAGGTAAAGACTGTCTTTATTTACATAAAATGAAAGTTTTCATTAGCGGTTTTTGTTTGTGTTAGAGTAGTATTGCATGCAATGTCTTATGAACGTGTTGTGGTGTGCATTTTATAACCTCCATGGTTTGGCGAGCAGCTTCTGAAATGACGCTGACATTGTTGGCTAACTTGGCTAGTTAGCATTTCGCTGTCGTTTTCTAGTCAACTACTGTAGCAGCTTATTGGCACAGTGCTAACAGTTGTTAGCATTAGCCTCCAGCTTTACCTTGCGCTGCAGGTGACAATAGACCAGGGACAATTGATTACATTGCAGTTAGCCTGTGCGTGTTCCGCTCCCGGTGTTTTTTTTCCTTTTTTAAACAACGTTTAAGAAACTGTACGGTACATCTGACCGCTTCGATATGTTATTTATTACGCTTTGTGGTTGTTTATACCAGTGGCAGTGGATGACATTTGGAAACGTTATGACACCTGAGCTATCACTACCAGGCAGCTCATCGTTACCATCACCAACATCTGGCTGTTGTTGTTGTTGGTTGGGACTGAGACTGTTGTCAGACTGTCACTGTCAATGTTTCTTTGACGTTGACAGTTGGTCCGGGCTATACGAGGCTGGGGAGAGTTTATGACCATTCTTTTGCCAAGTTGTTCATGCATATTTCAGTGCTGGTGATTACATGGTATTCTCCCATCAGCCAACACCAAGGTGTCACTTAAATATTCATGCTTTCTTGGCTGAGCATGTTTATTGTAAACCACCTCAGGCATCCTGTCTGTTTGACCAATGTTCCTCTTTAAAATCCAATTGTTAAAAACCCTTTGTAAATGTATTTCAGTCGAACTGGTTTGAGCCTAAGCAGTTTCTCTCCAACTGTAGGAAACGTGTCAAGTCCCCTGGTGAGTAGCAGTTTTCCCTTGAGCACGGAGGGGTCTGAGTGAAGGCTGAAAGATGGTCTGATGGACCGCCGCTTCTTCCTGACCTTCCTCCTCTGCTCGGTGTCGTGGATCTTCTTCTGGGAAGTGCGCTGGAAGAAAGGAAAAGAGAGTCAAATTGAGGAATGGCTCCAAGGACATAGCCTCTCTCAGTACAGGCACTTATTTGAAGGTCAGTTGCTTACAGTTATATCTCCATTTGAGATATATTTAGATGGCCATTACAGTTTAGGCCTTTATTTGATGGTCTGACGTTGAATGTAACCCGCACGTGGTTACTTCTGCAAGACAGATTATGATACTTGAAACTTTGGTTGGAACAGTTTCTCTAACCATTAGCTTTTAGAGCTTTGCAGGAATACCATGAATAAGTGTCATGTCTAACTGGATCCAAACTATGTTTAACGCAAGGAGATATTGTTGCTTATTGCTTTGACCCTGGTCATTTTTGTTTTAAACATTCAGGCTTACGAGATGCATGTATGCACGGACAATCAGCTCAGGCTTTGATACACTTTATTATAGACTTTAAGAGAGAGTATTTAAGCCTGTGCTGGGGCATTACTGATGCTGATTTGTTGGCTGGTATGTGATTGAGTATTTCTATGTGCTGTTCATGTGTCATCCAGATGTACATTCACTGGAGGAACTGAGTCTGAGTGTACTAAGTCGTCTGGAAGAGGTGGTGAAGGAACAGCAGCGCTGGAGGGAAATTGAGGAGGCCCACATCCAGCTGCTCCGAGACTTTGCCTTCCAGGAGTGGCTTTGCTCCCAGAAATTGGAGCACTATTACCATACGTAAGCAATGAAAGGTCTTAACCTTTTACATTTACACTAATCTAGCCAACAATCGTGAGAAGCTTTCTTTTTTCAGTAACAATCACTTATTGGCATGTCATGCGTATAGATTTTTCCAGGCATATTTTAGGCTTGAATTGGTTCTGTGGTTATGATCAGGTTTTATGCCGGTTATCACAGGCCATATCTATTTCTGTCCACTTGAGGGCAGCCTCTCCATTCATGGCTGGCTGAGCTTTGCTGACGCTGAGCTGTGGAGGCTGCAGTGTTTCAGAGGGTCACTGCAGTAAAAAGTACTCTTCACCGGCTGTTTGTGTAAGACCTGCAGCAGTGCAGGTGATGTGTATGTTGGATCATCTCTATTGATGCAGTCAGAACAGGCTATGCTAAGTAGTCATTGTGTTTTTCAAAATAAACAAAATAAACTTTCTGTTTAAGGAAAGTCAATGTTTCAAAGGTCAACTGTGTCTCTCAACTACTCATTCATTTCAGAAGAAAACTGTTTGGTATTTCTAAAGGGACACTGTGTCACATTTTTCAATGTCATGACTGTCACACCATTGCTGCCTCTATTTGAACCTTTCTTGGTAATGTCATTCTGGCAGAGCTTCAGTTCAGTGACTGTGTTGTAACAGAAGGTGACCCTAGCACTTTACAAATATATATATCCCCTTGTAAATGGGGAAGTAGTGGATTGACTTAAGCCACGACTTGTCAGATACATTGTGTTATTAGGAGTGAGAGGATAAAAAAGATCGAAGTATTTACTTTAAGAAAAAATAATGAGAAGATTGTTTTTTATAATTATAATTAAACAATTGCAATCACAAGGTAGATGATCAACCATGCTTCACACACTGAACTGGACCAAACAGCATGCTAGAAAATACACATTTAGCATTTTTCTGTACAAAGTTACAATTTTGTTGCGTCTGGATTGAAAATGTGTTTTCAAAAGAGAAAAAGGGTTTTAGTGTGTTTTTAGTCACTAAAGTTTGACTTTGCACATTACACCTTGGTGTTATCAGGCATTGACACAAGGTTGTACTTTTAGTAGATTTACAATGGGAGGATTATGTTTCAGTTTGACTGGTTTCATTGTCCTCTGCTGTTCTTATTATCCACACCTTCTCGTGTAATAAAGCTTTACGACGGTAGTATTTTGCTAAGGCAGGATACACTGTGCTGCGCTGCCTCACCTGTTAGGTGATAAGATCCAGGTTGTAATCTATAGTTTGTTTTGTGTGTGGGACAAGCTGTTGTGTGCAGTAAGCACAGCAGACTTGGTCAACGGGGAGTCAGCAGTCAGAGTAGGATATATCTCTAAAGGGTGTACTTTTTAAGAGGCTAATCATCGCTACGACTCCTTTCAATCATCTCCTTTATTCACTTTCATTTCTGCTTCCCACCGCAGACTGAAGACCTTGCGTTGTATGAACCTAGATGATCTGTCTCAGTTCGACAATCAGCTGCAGCTCTCTTTAGCTGCCTGGGGATACTACTACGAGGACTACATCAAGCTGTCTACTGGCATCAAGATCCTCCAGAACTCCAGGGGGAGTCGTGACCAGGACTACGAGATCCGGCTGGTACACAGCCTGTCTGTGAGGCGTCTGAATGAGAAGTGGACAATTGGTGAGACACAGGTCATTTGCTGCCTTAGACAGGTTTTTAGTTTGAATTGCTTTCCAAAGCTGCAGGGTATTAGGAAGCCTTTAGATGTAAGACGTAAACATAAAGTGGATTGTACTGTTGATAAGTGTTGTTTCTACAAGAGTCATAGCTGTTGAATGTGGCTCAAGTGTTGCAATAGAGAAGTTCAGTTTTGCCTTATCTCTGTATACAGAGTAACATTTGTTTGTTCTTGTCATTTGCTGTTCATTTATTTGACAGGACACCGTTTAAAATGCAGTGGTGCTGTTGTTTAGCCTTGGCTTATGTCATCATTCAACTATCAATCAAACCTTTGAACCTGTTGGTTTATAACATATAGTGTGTATTGTTTTCATTTGAATTATTCATTTTTACAATTGTCTTTTCAGAGGGAGCTCTCATATTTGGCTGTACTGTGGCGCTCTGCTTCTTGATAAGGGACCTGATGTTTTACGTGATTGGTGAGTTCACTGTATGCTGTTTGGGCGGTTATACTGGACCTGGAAATGCTGCTACATGACTCATTTAGCTCTTTCTTCAAGCACTTTGAACCACTTTGAGTTACCCGTTTGACAAATTGCTTTATAGTTTGTTTATATAAAGCCTTTGTAAAGGATTTGTTGTCAAGTTTTGATCCCATAAACCTTTGTCAAACTTTAGCCTTTTCCCTGTTTTATTGGTGACCAAATAATTACCTTGCATTTATTGCGCCCCCTTGTTCCAACAACTTTTCTCTTGTGCTTCTTCCCTTCTTGCGACAGGTGGAATTACTGTTTCCATCATAGCGTTTGTCTTCACCATTAAGTTCCTCTGTGAACTTGCAGCGAGGGTTGTCAGCTTCCTGCAGAATGAGGATCCAGGGCGACGCGGCGACCGCAGCATCTACGACTATGTCCGGGGCAACTACCTGGACCCCCGTTCCTGCAAGGTGTCTTGGGATTGGAAGGAACCGCAGGAAGTGGGCCAGACTATGAGCTTTAGAGTCCAGGTGATGATTTATTCCTAACAGTCTTTTAAAGGTTTCCTATCATGCTATTTTTAAGCATTTATTATGGGTCTCAGATATATGAACAAATATAAAGAACATGTCTATGATGTGTTTTCCTCAAAATACCAAACAGATCACCCATTCCAGCCTGCGAGAAGTTTGCCCCTCTATTTCAGCCCTGTTACTAAAGTGCTGATTCTGGGTCCTTAGCTTTAAAAAAGAAAAGAAAAAGGGGGATGGGAGCTAATGCCTGCTCAAAATTCTACCGAGAGATTCTCAGCTAAATGCTGCCGTCATTAAATGCCATCATGTTCAAAACCACATCAAGGAATATTTCTGAAACAGTATGGAGCTCAAATGCTTTTTCTCTTGCGGGTTTACTAAAATGTGAGTTCCTTTCTTTATTTCCTGCTTTTTTACACATACTCTGTCCAGTACAGGTTAGCTCTGAGTGTTCGCGATGCTTGCTAATGTAAAAAAGACCATGTTACGTCCAAAACACGTCAGGCATTGCTTTCTGATAGCGAAGTCTCTGATTGTGCCGTGGGCGTAAAGCCAGCTCACATTTCCGATATTACGTCATATCGGATGCAAATCTGGATCAGCTCCGCTGTACTCCCTGTACGAAGGAAAAGAGAGAGGGTTTTGTTTTCTGACACTTTGTGCGTTCCCTGACACACCGGGGACACACATTTATGTACAAAAGACATCAAAAAGTCACTTTTTGATGTCTTTTGTACGACCTTTAATGTCTAGTCTCGTTGACTTTAGCAGTGTCAGAGAATATTTGGTCTGCAGTTATTCATCTTTTTGTCTTCTCAGCTTTTCTATAAGAATGGCCAGCCTTTTCCCGCCCACCGGCCTGTAGGGCTGAGGGTCAACATCACCCACATCGAATTGGCTCTGGACATCCCTGTGACGCAGGAAGTTCTGCAGGAACCAGAGTCCAACGTAGTCAAAGTTGCCTTCACTGTGCGCAAAGCCGGGCGCTACGAGGTTGCTGTCAAGCTGGGTGGCCTCAACGTGGCCTACAGCCCTTATTACAAGATTTTTCAACCAGGTATTTCTGCTAAACCGTATTCTTCTGTGTTTGGTTATTGATTTGACTAGTATTTATTGTTTATTTCTATTCTTTTGTTCAAATCAGGAACAGTTGTCCCATCAAAAACCAAGATAGCCTACCATTTCTCCACCCTGGTGCTAACTAATGGCCAGCAGCACACTTTGCAAATTGAGCCGAGGGACGAGTATGGAAACCCCACCAGTAACTCTGCATCTCTCACTGATGAAACCAACTACAGCGTCCACGTGCACTCTGTAAGGGAACACACCCCCTTCCTACTTGATTTACTCATTGATTTGGACTGTAAAAATGAAAGCCAGAATTGTTCAGCCTTCTGTTCCCAATTGCACAGTCCACTAACTTTACAGCGCAGCAGAACAAGTCTCTGAGCTGGGATTCATTTGAGTTTCCTTGTTTCTTGTAGCTGGGCACGGGGGATGACGACAGTCTGGAGGAGTACTACAGTAAGTCAGTGACCCTCAACAAGCAGCAGTGCCAGGTTCTGCTGAAACTCACCCTAAGGAAGACGGGCTGCTTCAGGGCCCGCATCTCCTACACAGACCAGCCGCTCAGCAACGGGGAGTTTGATATTATTGTTCTCAGTGGTGAGCAACCTTTACATGCTTAAGGAATTATACACTACTATAGTAAAAACACAGTGCTTTCCAATGCATGATACTCATACTCTCTTTGCTTATTACAGAGAATGAGAAGGCCTGTGTGGAGAAGAATGTGTCCACTCCAGGCATTAGCATCTACTTTGAAGCGTACCTTTACAGCAATGGGAACTACAGTTCCTCATGGCAGTTTCCCGCCTCCTCTCTGCTGGCCCCCCAGAGGAGGCCCTCCATGGGAGAAGAGGAGGATGAGCATGACTCTCCTGTGGAGGGACAACCTGAGAAGGTCAAGAAACCAAAAAAGGTCTACTGCTACATATCGCCAAAGGTAAGCGTGTCATGTATTGGTTGTTTTTCCTCTTAACCTTTTGGTTGTGTGACTGATGTCTTGTATATGAGAGGATAGAACTCAACATGTGTTAATGAACAATGACTTCTTTGTCAAACAGCAATTATCCGTGAAAGAGTTCTACCTGAAAATTATTCCATGGCGCCTTTTCACCTTCCGAGTATGTCCAGGAACGAAGGTAAGCAGCAGTGAGTCGTAAAACCCTGGGACACTTTGGTTTGATTTAATTTACCACGCTAACCATAATATTCTGTTCTTGCTTCAGTTTACCTATTTTGGTCCTGACCCCGTTCACAAGTATCTAACTCTTGTGGTGGATGATGGGATACAGCCTCCTGTGGAGCTCAGCTGCAAAGACAGGAACATCATGGCTGCCACCTTCATTCGCTTCCTGCACAAGAACATCGGTTTGTTTCAGTCTAATGTGATGCATTCGCGTTGAGAAGTACTTAGTAAATACCCTCTTTTAGAGACTGTAGCTATAATCTGATGGTGTTGTCCACAGGTGGATCTGAAACGTTCCAAGACAAGGTGAACTTCTTTCAACGTGAACTCAGGCAAATCCACGCAAAGAGACCTCGCACCAAGACCTGCCTCAAAATCACTCGGCACACTATTCTAGACTCGGTGAGTGCTGCTCGTCAATATACAAATGGGCTTGTTAGCATGTGATTGTTTAGATTCTTATTTGTCTTTTCTCTTGCTGTTGCTCAGTCCCTGAAGGCTACCAGGAACTTCTCTGTGTCCGACTGGAGTAAGAACTTTGAGGTCGCGTTCCAGGATGAGGAAGGTAAACATTTAGCTGCAAGCACTTCAAACCAAAAAGATCTTAAAATAACACAGGAAATGGCATCAAAATGAGAGTTACAGACATAGTAACTTTGTTAGATGAACACACTGCTAAAACCTTTGACACTTCTCTGCAGCTCTGGACTGGGGAGGCCCTCGCAGGGAGTGGTTTGAGCTGGTGTGTAAGACCCTCTTTGACACCTCCAACCAGCTGTTCACTCGCTTCAGTGACAACAACCAGGGCCTGGTAAGTTAGTCTTATTACCCCCGTCCCCTTTCAAAACACCTCACTGAGGCTTAGGTTACATCTACACTAAGTACTGCTTAAGAAATAATATCTGTCTATACTAATATACCTAAAAGCATCCATAGGAAGGAGATTGTCTACTATTCTATTATTTAAATATTTAGTTTTAGCTCCATAGTTACCAAACACTCACTCACACAAACACACACTCAAAGAGAAAGGAATTGTGTTCGTTTTTCCGCACTCAGTTACAACCAGGTTACTATAGCAACATTTTACGATATTTTGTTCAAGAAATGTGTCCAATACACGTCGCAGAACAAAACAAGCATAGATAGCAAAAAGGAAGTCATCGGATTTATATTTATTTCCCTCTTGAAAGCTGCTAACCATGCCTTTTAAGCATGTTCTCTGCTAAGCGATGCTAGCATAGAGAACAACAACTGAAATGTGTTATGTTTAACTGAAACCTGAATCTGGAAAAGTGTCTCGTGATGTGTCAATTAGGGAAGGGAATCTAATCAAGAAATATATCCTTTTTTTAAATGTATTCCATGAATGGGTATTATCTCATTTAAAGTGGACCTATCATGCTATATTTGAATAATAATAGGACCATACCTATATAAGGCCTATTATTATTCAAATATATTATTTTCAAAATACCAAAAACAGATCAGCATTTTACCATTCCTCATTTCGTCCAATTTAACACTGTCTTTTCATGGGGCTGATTCTGTGCAGAACACACCAATCTCAGGCCTGTCATATGTATACAGCGTCTCCAGCGCTTTCGAACGGCAATGTTACGCAGCCGGCTGTCTCCTCCTGATGGTGGAGTTGGCCAAAATACAATAGCCGTAGCGACACTTCCTGTGATGCAGAGAGAAGTGTTCAAAACTGGATCAGTCCTGTATCAATCCGTTGCCAGCCCCTTTTTTAAGAGATTTGGGTATTGGAGGAAAATAGAAGATGGTTGTGTTTTCTGACACTTGGTGAGTTCCCTGGAACACCGGGGACACATATTCATGTATAAAAGACATACAAAAGTGCATTCTGCATGATAGGTCACCTTTAAGTATTTGTTGGTGTCATGTTGAAATCTTGAATGTAATGTAATCATACCCCTACTCATCCTGTAAAAAGAACCTTATATAGAAAAAAAACATCAACTTGACGTCATCTTTTTAAATTGTCTCTGTTTTAGCATTGTGGATTCTTGGCGTAAGCAAAGCGAAGATGATGAGATGAAATGTGTGGACGTAGCCTTGCTGTCCTCTAAAAGCGCAATAAGTTCAAAAGACAGAAACCCAGATTCCTGTTATTCTCCAGGTGCACCCTAACGCTGAGCGGCAGGCCCACCAGCGTCTGAAGATGTATGAGTTTGCTGGTCGTGTCGTGGGGAAGTGCCTGTATGAGTCCGCTCTGGGGGGGGCCTACAAACAGCTGGTCCGGGCTCGCTTTACCCGCTCCTTCCTGGCCCAGATCATCGGCCTCAGGATGAACTACAAGGTAAGGAACTCAGTGCATTTCAAGGGAAAAGCCTTTCCTCGGAAGTTGGAAGGTCATGTTTTCATTGTTTACTTCTCGATGTCAGCCGGTCTGTCTCATCACTCCTACATTCCCACAAAGCCAAGAAACCTAAATGATTTGTTGGCTTGTGTTTTATTTCTGAGAGCAAGCCAATGTGTTTTGCTGTTTATCCAACTTCTTAAGATCTGTAAGTGGAGAAGTAAAGCCCAATCATGTTTTTATCCTTCCACGAGGAAGATGAAAAACCATGTTTATTTCAAAACGTCATTACCCTGTGTTTTCCTTTTTTATTTTCCAAACGCAGTACTTCGAGACGGATGACCAGGAGTTCTACAAAGCCAAGGTCTGCTTCATCCTAAACAATGACGTGAGCGACATGGACTTGGTGTTTGCCGAGGAGAAGTACAGCAAGTCGGGACAGCTGGAGAAGGTGAGGCAACACGTTGGAAGGGAACTCCCCCCTTTTATCCCTGATGTCATTTCACAGGACAGAGGAGCACGAAAACAAACAAAAGAAACCATATTGCTCGTCTGGCAAGCGTTTGTCTTGTTGAGGCTGAGCGCTGAGTTTACATAAAGATGGATGAGTGGATTTTAAACTTTTGTAGCATAGTTACACACAATAGCCGGCTGTGGGACTCCCCCTACTATACTAACAATGAAAAATGTGTGACAGCCTCTCACAAGTGTTGACTGTATACATAGATTTACTGTAACAAAGGTTTTCCCACCCTCTATCGTTTACTGCCTACACATTGACAGATTTTTAAACTGTTTAATATCTTAGGCTCTTTTACGTATTATGACATTTATATCCTGCTGGTTGCTCTCTTACAGGTGGTGGAGCTGATATCCGGGGGATCTCAGATCGATGTGACCAATGAAAACAAGGTGCATTATCTAAACCTGCTGGCCCAGTACAGACTCGCCAGCCAGGTGAGAGAGGAGGTGGAACACTTCCTGAAAGGTGAGGAAACAAGCACGGCTGCAGTTGTCCTTCTTTCTTTTTTAGCCCACACCTGTCATTTCAGATCTCTGGTAATGTGCACGTAGTTAGTTTTATTTCCTGATCTGTTGCAGGTCTGAATGAACTGGTTCCAGAAAATCTGCTAGCCATATTTGATGAGAATGAGTTGGAGGTATGTATGATGTTTATAATAACGAATCAAGTTTTTAAAGAAACTGATACTGCAGGGTAATTCTAATTTCTTTTTTCTTTTAATCTCTTCAGCTTTTGATGTGTGGCACCGGAGACATAAACGTGCTGGACTTCAAGGCCCACGCTGTGATTGTCGGAGGGTCGTGGCACTTCAGAGAGAAAGTATGTCGTTTGGAAATCTCTTTTATCCATTTTCACAGCAGCAGGCCACTGATTTTTCTTTTTCTTGCCACAGGTGATGAAGTGGTTCTGGGCCGTGGTGTCCAGCTTCACCCAGGAGGAGTTGGCCCGTCTGCTGCAGTTCACCACCGGCTCCTCTCAGCTCCCCCCCGGGGGATTCAACACCCTCTGCCCCTCTTTCCAGATCATCGCTGCCCCCACACACAGCACCTTGCCCACTGCACACACATGGTGAGTACGAATTACATGAAGGTCTGAGCCCTTGATGCTTTAGTGATGTCAGTCTGTCAATCGATTGCTTGCTTTAATAGTTTGGTCTCAACATTAATTTGAACAAACTTTCAAAACAATATATATCTGACATTCATGGTCCTCAGAGGATGAATCCTACGCTTCATTCAGCCAAACCAACAGGTCAATGTTTTCTGTTTTTCTACTTTTAATAACCTAAAATGTACTAGATGGATTGGCAAGAAAAATTACTCAGACATTTGTATTTCCCAGAAGATTTATTATAAAGACTTTTGGGAACCCCTGAGTTTCTCCAGTGCCATCCTCAAGTCAAAATGTGACCTTTATTGCAGCTCTCTAGCCCGCTTTTGTTTCTCCACTGTCGTAGTCTATTAAAGGCATCATATCTAAATACTCTTTAAAAATGTATTTTCTTTTTCAATTCTTTGGTTATTATCCAACAGTGTAAAAACGTGTCAGCAGTTCTTTGCGTTAAGTGCTAATTAGCACTCATTAATACTTATACGGTTTAATATGAATGTGATAATTATATCTGATTAACATTGTCTAGTTTACATTGTCATTATGGACATGTAAGCAAGCTGACGTTAGCATTTGGCTCAAAGAATCATTGTTCACACTTTTCTATTCATAAAAAAGGCTAATACATTTTCAAAAGAACTGGGCACTGTTTCCTCAAACATCACTCAAAAACACGCAACTAGTGATTTTGTCCAGGTCTAATTTTAGCAGGCGGATTAGGACACATTCTCTCGTGAGTATCTGAATCAGCTCCATGTTGGATAGACTGACAAATAAACGATATTTTCTGTGCTTATGTTAATGACGAAAGATGACTCCCAGGGCTCATTGATGGGATTTTAATAGTTCTTTAATAACAATAGCACGGAGGAACAAGCTTCATCAGGCTAAGGAATATTTAAAATAAAGTCATGTTCGCTTTGTCTTTTCGTTGGAATTGTTAATCATGAAAAAATACAATATCAACACATCTTTAATGTTTAGAGCTCATTACACGTGAGAATGAGCGTGACTTATAAATGGTTTGTAAATGCTTCATCCGGAACTAAACATTCGCTGATTCCCTGTGGTCCAATTTTTCTGTCCAGTTTTAACCAGCTGTGCCTCCCGACGTACGACTCTTATGAGGAACTGCACAAGTTGTTGAAGCTGGCCATCAGTGAGGGCAGCGAGGGCTTCGGCATGCTCTGACTCTCCATCCAGAGGACACCACCGTGCACACTTCAGTGCAACGGTTTCCTGCTTTCATTTGCATTAACAGTGGGCATCTTGGCAGAGCATCACCCTCTCCCTATCAGTACTCTCTCAGGAGGAGAGGGCATTACGGGAAGTCCCAGAAGGCTTTCCCGAAACTGGAACTCAGTCATTTGAACTCAAGTACTACTTTTATGTATATAAAATATCTCGCTTTTGTAAAAAAAGGAAACCAGGACCTGCTGGAAAAGGTCAGGTTTTGGCTAAAGTTTGCTTAGTTTTATATGTTTGAAAGACAAATAATTCTAGTGCAAAGGCCTTGAGTATTACATCATAAATGCTTCTTTTGCATTTTTCAAACTGAGGAACACTTAAGTGCAACAGCGGGCTACATGTGATGCGGGTGCCGCGCGCACCTACAGCACTTTGGCCTTAATCGATCAGGGACTGATGTGTGTTTGTAAATATATAATATCACTCTTTTATTCCAATACTTGTACATAGTAGTGTGTATACATAGGTTTTCATCTCGTTACCTCTTTGGTTTAAAGTTCAAGGAGAAGGGAATCACTTTATTGGTGCACGTTTGATGGGTTGAGAGTTTATTTCATTTCTTTTTTCATCTGAGAAAGAATGGGTTTTAAAAGAAGCCAAGTAATTTCTATTGTTTATACATGTTTTTAACTTATTGTGTCTTTAAAATAATATTCGGGTTGACCCATTGTTTAAAATATGTTTGCCTGGAGTGGTAAATGTTGGTCTTATGTTTTATAACCTGCCTTATTCATGCTCTTTGCCTCTGATTGTATCCAGAGAGGTGCGTAGGTGAGAGAAGCATAGTGGACAATAGTAAGTGAAAAGTATATCATGGCATTTCTACTACTACATGCAGCGGTCACTGTGTACGTTGGGGAGAGCCCATATATAACAAACACTTTGTTATATATGTATACTTTTACTTTTTCCTTCACAGCCTTTTTATGGATTTACCTCAGAATCTTCTATGCCACCTGTTCATTCTCTGACTCAGCTGTATATGTGCACACTTGTGGTAAACAGTACATATACAGTTTGTTCATAGCTGCCTCCTTCCCGTCCTGTACCTTTAAGGCATATTATCCCTCATCCTCAGTAAACTGAAGCGTTATATCAGAGGAGAATACGCCCTGTCCTTTGCTATTGTACAATTATTTATTTTGAATACGACGATTGTCAAAAATCCTGAGCCAACAGTTTTCTCCTTTCTTCCTCTTCATATTGTGTAGCAAGTTCTAGACTTTACACGTTCAATAGCCATTTGTACTAGTGTGTGCTGCCACTCAGTGTTTGTAGATCATTTAGGAAAATTCATGTTTGGACTGCAAAGTTTAAAAAAAGAAGAGTTATCCTTCACAATAGTACTTGCAATTTCACCCGCATAGCACTCTGGGTCCAGTTACACATTATTCTCACAGTATGTTTGACTCGGCCACTAAGAGATTTCCTTATTTTCGAACTGCAAAGATGTCACATTTTGAAGTCAGCAGCAGGTTTGTATTGTGTTGGCTCACCAGAACCAACACAGTGTCCACTTGGGATTTAATGAGCGTTTGCTTGTGCTTTAGCTAGCCTTTTACAGTGTTAAGAGCTTTACAAGTGGGTTGATGGATTTGTGTTTGTTTGGGTTGTGCAATGTTGACCAGAAGTACTAAGAACAGCAAAAAAAAAGTGCTTATGAAAATATTTTCAGCACACATAACAATGGCTGATATCATATTTGCCAGAAGTAAAAGTAGTTTAAGCATTACATGTGTTAGTTGTTCGTTGTTCCATTAGAAATGACCGTTATAAGTAAACATGAAGGAGGTCTATGCTGTCGTTTTATGTTCTTGTTTAATGTTTTGCTTTTCATGAGCATCTACTTCTCGTTTTATTTAGTTATGTTTGGATTGTTTCTGGGCTACATGGCCCGAGTGTGACTTTTAGCAATGTAGATATTGTGAAATATTTGCCTATGACTTTGAAGCTGGGATACTTCTTTTCTTTCCTTTTTTTAAATGGCAAGTCATTGCTGACGAATGTTTGAGATTCTCTGCACTGCAGGTCCTTTTGTTTATGGGAATAAAAAATGATGGACTAAATTCTTATCCCTGTATCACACTTTTTGTGTATCTCCTGTGGATTGTGCTAAGCATTGTGATTACAGACCCTTTTAACATTTTCAAACCTGGATTTGAAATGGCTTATGGTGCTGTGCATGCCGACCAATGGTTCCTGAAAGTGCAAAGGTTTTCTGAAACATAATGAAAGTTAGGTTGATAGTGTTTTTGCATTTATTCATGCTTAAAGGTCACCTATTATGTAAAATCCACTTTTTCATGTCTTGTACACATCAACATGTGTCCTCCCCTCTGTGTAAAGAGATTCTGAAAGTTTCAGGAAAAAAGATTCTCTCACTTTTTTCCTGATCCATTTATATAAAAACCTGTCTGAAAATGAGCTGATCAGATTTTGGCCACTGTATGATGTCATAACGATTTTTGGCTTGTGTAACCATTAGCCAATAAGCTACCAAGGTAACAGAGAATCAGCACTTTTGAAACGGGGCTGAAACAGAGGGGATTATGGGATGCCATGATCTGTTTGGTATTTCGAGCCAAACACTTCAGAGACATGTTTTGTATATATCTGAGACCTATAATATATTGATGAAAAACAGTATAATAGGAGACTTTTAAGAACAGAAAAAATATGTATGACTTGCAACACCTCCTCACTGGTAGAACCATTTTCCTAATACAGAAGACAACAGCTTTGATTATAGGAGGACTTTATAAACATATAAATGCATGTAAAGACATCGGCTACACTGATATATAAGTCCCTGGGCCATGCATGTTTCAGACACAAGGGGGCACTGATCCTACATGTTACATGATCATCCATGATTGGAGGATGCTTCCTCTGCTGTCTTCCTACGGGACAGCTGAGCAGCAGTGAATGATGAGGTGCTTTCCTGTCTTCAGCTGACCCTCCACACTTTCTGAGTATCCCCTCCATTACAGACATTTCTTATTTCCCCACACACATACAATACATACCTCACAAACCCCAAAAATATACAAAGTTCATTCAAACCTCCTGGTTCCACGTCCACAAGCTTAATGGAATCAGTCTTTTGAGAGCTTTTCTGTGTATGAAATGTGATCAAACCAAACTGGACAACAAAGGCTCCCTTTTCCTTTTACCATATGAAGATGGCATAACTGAGAGCCATATCGGCACAAGATGGAAAGACTCTAGCACTGAATGAATGTTTGCTTCCTGAGTCATACAGCGTCTGATACTGGACTTTTTTTAATTGCTTTGCTCGGACATGCTGGCCCTCCACGCTACACCCACGTGTTCCTGGCGCGTCTCCTCACGTTGTGTTCTGAACACTATCAGGAGCACTATGAAAGGCATCTTGAAGTACTTGGAAGGCAGGACTCCAGTTATTTGGTCTTGGCATGCACCTGTGGATTTACATAATGGTCTCTCTCAAATTTCCCCCAGGAATGCTTGCTAAAGAGTGACCACAAATCAGAAGTCATCCTCTGGCGCTCACTAAGAGTAATATACCATGTTGGAGCGCCTTTCCACGTCCAGAGAACCTGCGGGAGACCGCTCAACAACTATACTGTGCATTTTAGGGTCAGGGTTAGGTATCTTATGAAATTAATTCTCAGCAAAAACATGTTTTTCTTACAAATTTCCAGTGTATTCCATAAACATCTCCAGACCTGACTGGAGCTTGGTTTTGGGGTTTGGGGTTGCCAAGTTGCTGGTGAAAGCCAATTTATTGGTGGTTCTTCTCAACTAAAGAGTACAGTGCCTCATTTCCCATCTCTGAGTCAGACACCCTGCCTTTGAGGAGATCCGTCAGCTTCTATGATCAAAGGTAATTGTCCACAGACTGTGATCTTCACAGGGCAGAAGCCCCAAATGTGGCACGCAAGTATCTTTAGATCATGACCGCTCTCCCTTCTTTCTGCTAAACAGCCATGGGGTTGTCTGCTTCCCATTCCAACATGCAGGTCCTCATTACCTGATTGGACGCGACTGATTAACTGCCAACTGGATTGGCTGCAGGTATTCATCATCTGCATTGATTGGGCCGATTTAAAGGGCCAATCTTAATCAGGGTTGTTGAAGGACAGGAGAGCATCTTTCCAGCAGCCGGCCTGGACTAAAGCTCTCCTCAGGAAGATTACCCTTTACTGTATTCTGACTTCATGTTACATGCAAAAGATCCTTCAGGCCTCAGTCCAAAACCCTGGCAAACATCAGTGTTTTGGACTGAAAGACGAGTTCTCTGCTCCTTTCACTAAAATTACTTTGGCATTTTTTGGGGTGGATTTCAACCTCAATCGTGCCTTCTGAAGTTTCTTAGTGTGAGTCTTAACTAAGTCCCTTTTATAAATGGTGACAGTGTGGCTCTGTAGTCAGCATTGTTGAGGTTTACGCAGAAAACAGCTGTGAGAAATGCAAATCACAGCGATGAAAACGGTTTGGCAATCAAGTGCAGCAAAGGAATGTATCGATGAGATGCTGCTGCTGATTAAAGAGAATTTCCACTCATCTCTTGATATTTTACATATTTTCCTCCTATCAATCCTCTGAGATTTAAGTGCTGAGACATGGCTCTCAACACCCGAGCCGAGATGATGCGAGTCCACCACTGAACGACATGCGCGAGCAGCCACCCATAGATGAAACGGCTTCATTAAAATGCATTCCTCTATCAGAAGAAGATCTGCCAACACATGTTTTGGAAATGATATAAACGTCCACGCGTACAGCTGAGGTCAGAGACAAGCAGGAGCTTAGAGCTGCAAGCGCTCTTGAAAAACTGCAAGCGTGGAGATTAAGTGTCCCCTAGCTGATGGCTGTCCGTGTTTTATATGATGTCGGAGAGAGGCTATTGATTCATGGGGTTAGTTGTCCTGCTGGGAAGTGCAGCTGGTTTATATTCGGTGTGTCGGGAAACATTTCAGTCCTCTGTAAAGAAAGTGCCTCTAATGCAGACTGTCCCGCTGTTTGACAAACACCTCTGAGCCGCCTCTCCCTTGTTGTCAGTGTGGTTGTTACCATAGCACTTGTGAAAACGCTATGAAGTGACATTCATACTGATGTCCTTCTGTAAGTGCAGAAAAGTGTTTTAGACTAGAATGCGGCATGGCTCATGGGATAGCAATGTAAAGTCATTTTGATCCAGACTGAACATCTCTGTTTCATAGATTGCCATGAAAGTTTCTACAGACATCCCCCGAGTATGAATCCCACTGACTTTGGTAATCCCTTGAACTTTCCTGGAGCACTACCTGCCGATCAAGGCTTTTACTTATCCTCTGAAATGTCTCAACATGTATCAGGTGGGCCAGCCACATTTTGTGCAGACATTCATTGTTCCCAGAGGAAGAAGTTTGATCACTTTGGAATCACCCCTTGACTTTTTCTGTAGTACAATGGATTGCCCTGTGTTTTTGTTCCAGATGTGAATGTCTCTTAATGTTTCATCTAGTGCCGTCATTAGGTCAGCATTTCAATTTGTCAAATAGGGTGGTTAATGAACAAATATCTTCAAAACATTTGAAATTTCAGTTGTACTACATGATACTTGCTAAATAAGCATGCAGCAGTACGCCTAGTATTTAGTTCAAAACACAGCTGTGCCTGAGCTCACAGAGCTGATGGCATGGCTGTAGACTCTGAGTCTTGTCTGCC